CGGCAGCGGCCGCGCCGCTCGGCAGCGCCGGGCACTCACCTGAGGAGCCGCGGGAGCCGCGGGGCCCCGCGAGCCCGGGGGCGGCCGGACCCCCGCCCGCCTCAGCGACCGCCATGGCCGCCATAGCCATGGTCTCCTTGGCAACGGCGTCGCGCGGGCGCCAGCCGTGAGGCGGCGGGTCCCCTCGGCCGCGGCCGCTCCTCTCGGTCCCCTCGTCTCCGGCGGGTCCCCTCAGTTCCACCGGATCCCCTCTCGGCGCCACCGCTCCCCTCAGTTCCGCCAGATCCCCTCAGCCGGTGGGAGTCCCCTCAGCGCCGTCGGGTCCCCTCAGCTCGGTACGGACCGGCCCCGAGCCGCCGGGGGTGAGGCGGCCACGAGGGGAAGGAGTTGGGTGTCGTGGCCTTTGTTGTCTTATTGCCCACTTACTTAGCAAACCTCCTTCTCGTTCTACGGAAAGCAGCGCTGAATAGTTGTTTTACCCTCTAAATTTTATTAGAGTCGCCGCAAAAGTGGAGTGGCGAGGTCTGTGTATAACCCAACCGCACAGCCGTCCCCACAGGGTTTGTGTAGCACAATAATATAAATGAGCTGTGTTAGACTTGAATGGAAACATAATCGTTCACAGTCTGGGCTGGAAGGAGAAACCTGTTTATTAACAGCAGAAGAATGTCAATGAATGGGGAAAAATGCTCCAAACTGTTCAAGTGGAGCCTGAGTCATTCTAGAAGGCAACAGCAGTAACACTGGGACTGCCCAGGCCCTCTGTATTTCTTTTCTCTCAACTTCCCTTAGTGCCTAATTTCCAGATGCCACAGCCCAGCCCTCAGTGCTCCTGTCGGGGTCAGTAATCGTGTATGGGATAACTGCAGTGAGACTCTTTGTCTTGTTCCTATCTGAGTTTGGCCATTGAATCATTTGCAAATCACCTCTAGCATTAGGAAATTCAACAAAAATTGGTTTTTGATGTGAAATCTCTTCTGCCAGGGAAGTGGTGACGCGCAGCTGGAGCCATGTCCAACAGCATGGAGAGGCGGGTGATGAAAGCCCTGGGACTGTGTGGTGAGTCACAAGAGAAAAACATCATTTTAGCATAAAGTACTTCATTATTTAGCCTGCAAGGAGTGCCATTTGTACAGTAGCTATTTCGTTTTAGCACTTTGTTATGTGAATTGGCTGGATCGTTAGTCTTGCATTGTTCTGCCTTGGTGGATTGCTTTCCTCTTTGGAAAATAGAGCACCCAGGCCCTTCTCTTTCTCCTTGGTCACACTAAATGGATGATGCGGACATGGCACAGCAGAAGATGTTCCCCTGCCGGTTCTGTGTAGAATTTGTGCTTTTACTGTTGCCAAAAATAAGGAAACACGTGTGTCTTGGCCTAAGTAAGGCCCAGGGTAAGTTGCCTTTTTTTAATTTTGTAGAACAGCACACATTAAATGCCCATTAGAAAAGCTAGCTAGTGTATTCTGAAACTTAGCCCAAGATGAAAATAACTGAAGATCGTGTCTGAAACACCTGCATGACTTGACTCTGGAAATTGTGGAAACACATGAAACAGACTGTAACAAGTATGGGTACTTAGTATGTCACCCCAAGTGTGAATGTACATGTAACTGCATGTGTATATATTTAGATTTTTATGCTTGATTTATTTTGTCATGGTGATCCGCTTTCCATGAGCTTTTTGAGAGTCACAGTAAGAACTCATGATGCAAGAAGCAAACCATCCTTTTTCAGCAGCTGAACATCATATTGGATGTTTCAAAGCAGTGTGGCTTCAAGAGCAGAGATGCTGTTCTGGTATTAGGGTACTGCAACATATCCAAAATAAATAGGATCTAAATCCTATAAGAGAAACTCACAGTATTTCCTGCCTTCAGAGATAAAGTTCACAGGAGAAAATTATTCCAAGGTCTGAAGCCTCAAGCTGTTGGGCTCTCTGTGGCTGACAGCTCAGTTTTGGAGGAGTGCCAGGCTAATGCAGGAATGCAAGTGGGATGGTGCTGGTAAAAATGTAACTGACTGCAGGAAGGAAAGAAAGGTGTAAACTGCCCGGAGCTTTAAACATAGCCCAGAGATTACAGCTCCCAGAGCCAAACCTGGGAATCACAGCACAAAACTGGACGCAGTGTTCCCGTGGTCTGGTACAGACCCAGGTGTCTGCACTGCTTGAGTCTTCACCTGAGGGCAGGGCTGCCCAGAGGTCTGATGGGGTAGGAATTACATGTGAAAACATTTCACTGATAAACAGGTGGTTCCAAGAATTTGAAATACAGAGGCTGTGAGGTTTTGTTTGATGCCAGCAGAAGGGTGCCATGCTGACAGCGCTTACACAGTCCCTCCGTGGAACAAGGGGAACAATACAGCTGTCATTTCAGTTGCTGTCTCTGTATTGTGCTGGGGTGTTTTTTCTGTGGCTGTAAAAGCACAAGGATGTTACAAACGTCCCACAGCCGACCTCTGGAGGGAAGCTGTGCACCACAAGGACTCTTGTGCTGGTTGGCACTGAAGTCCTGCTAACATCAGTGGGAGCTGGGCTGATGATGGCCTGACTTCAGCTGGAAGGTGTGCTTGAGGGTTGCATGGTTTTCACTTGAGCCTTTTACTGTGCAAGTAATTATCACTGTTATCCAGCTCTCTGGATTCTGATGCTACCGCAAAAAATCTGCTGTGTGGTGCATTCCATCTCATTCAGATTTGCCAGCTGGGGAGAATGACACAAATTTACACATTTGGCTAATTCTGAAGGTCATCTGGACTGTTTCAGGTCGCTGCGAGTTACACTGAGGGAGCACGAGATGAAATCAGGATGTCAGTGTTGCTAAGTGTCGATACACTTCCCTGCCTTGCCCTTCCATGGCGCTGTAGAGGGAGTGAAGTGCAGCTGTATTGGGGAGGGGGTGTAACTGCACCCTCTCAAATCAGGGAAATAGTCTCCTTCTGGAAAGAACAAGGAACTTCTGGGGATGATCTTTGTTTCATGCAGCAGCACAGCCACCCCAGATCCTTGTGCTATATGTGTCTTTCCTGGGCTCCACTGTTTCTGGTTTTGGTACCACTCTATGAAGTTGTTAATATCAACTCAGATCAACACAAAACCTACTAAACTGATTTTGCTTAACTTGTTTGCTCTTCTTTATAGTCCTTCTGTAATTGTTTGCCGTCAAAAACAATGCTCATTCTTTCTACCAATTAATATGCACTCTTGGGAATAAACCTTTGCATAGAAGGGAAAGTCCATGACATAACTTTTAGCTCCCTGATACTGTGTCCTTGGAGAAGAGACTTGGGGGGGAAAGCTGTGCCTCCTTTGGGGTGGTTGTTTTCAAGGGAAAAATTAACTTTTTTTTCCATCACCATTTCCTATGAGGGTCTCTTTCCTATTCAGCCCAGGGATTCTAAAATCATTCCCACTACTTTTTTTTATCATGTTTACTTGTCTAATGCTGTGCCTTGGAACACATATAACTCAGTGGGAGGACTCCAGATGACTTTCAGTGGGTTGTTCTGTTAATAATTGAAGCTCTGACTCTCTCTTGATTAGTTCTTTATATGCAGATCATGTTAAAAAGCTGAAGGGAAAGAAGAAAGATAATAGTGTTACAGCTGTTTTTCACTTAGCTTCTACTCTGATGGGTTAGACAGCAATGAAAATACAAACTGCCTTTATTTGTCCCATTGGTTCTCACCCAGCCTGTCACTGTACCCTCTCTAAAATCCTGTACACTGCAAGTTCTTAGTTTTCAAGGTGAAAGAATAGATGTTCTGGAGCCTTGCTCATCTGATGTTACAGGAGGCTACTGAAATATTGATCACTTCTTCACCCGGCACACAGCAAATAAAGGAGGAGTTTTCAGTTGGAAGTTATTTTGCATCTGCAGGGCAGATCTGGTGGTGCTGGCTCTGAGCAACTTAGTGCAGTAGCTTTTAGAAATGTAAACAGAAGGGAGACAGTGCAATGGGAAGTGACATTGTTTTTGAGGCAGAGAGAAGCTCCTGTTCCCTGGGCCTGATGGAGAAACATCTGGGTTTCAAAGCTGCTTGTGGAGTTCAGTGCTACTTGTTGTGAAGAAGGGTAATCTGCACTAAGAACAGATAAGAGCATGAAAGCAATGCTTCCAGAGTAATGTAAGGCTGCTGAAATCCCTGAGGTCAAGCAGGGAGAATTCCTATACAAGAAATCCATTGGTTCAGTTGGAATAAGCCTTGCTCCTGTTCCCTTGCTTGGCCTTGCTCAGTTGTGGTTAAATGAGGAGAGGGATGATAATCGTCTGATTATCTTGCTGTGGAACAGTTGGGAGCCCAGGCTTGTCCTCCTGCCAATGCCAGCTCCAGGGATGGGTCCAGCATTTGGAAAGAGAAGTAACGTGTTCCACAATCTCCAACAGGTGCAGTGGCTGTTCCACTGCTGAGTGTACCAGGAGAAAACCTGGAATAATCAGTCTGTTTGCTCATCCTAGCTGCCCAATTACCCACTGGGGAGAGCATGAACTTTTCTCAGTAATTAATTTAACATATTAAGAATGGCTTCCAGGTATAGGATGCAATTTCTGGTTCAGATCAAAAAGTTAACCATGTCAGCTTACAGCAGAGACTTTGGTTTGATATGGGAGAGCTGGCATGGGGGAGGCTAAAGCTCCACGCTCCTGCCCTGTATCTACCAGTGTCACCACAGTTGATTCCAGCTGTTCTGGGATCTTTTGGTCCCAGGGTTCTTGGATTTTGTGCCATGCCACAATCAAGCCAAATTTAAAACTGTGTATGTGTTAACCAGGAATCTTTCCCACAACAATTAGTAGGAGACTGTTAATGAAGCCACCATGCTCAATTACTCTCATAGATAAAAGTTACTAAAGTTTCCCTTTCTTGTTAATAGATACTTCATCAGACCCTGTTCCTTATAAGGTAGCAAAACCAGAGCTCCAGGCTGAATGTGTTTTATCTGAGCTCCAGGAGTACTGATATCTGTCACCTTAGGTTAACACATGGATTAATCCAGACATCAGATAAAAGATAGAGTTTATTTAGGATTAAATACTCATTTATAAATAAATAGAATATGCAACTTATTTTCCGAAGTGTTTGATATATTGGCTTTGCTACAGATTTGTTCAGAACAACCTGAAAAAGGACTGAACTGTAGTTAGCCAAGACAGTGTTCCCATGTTACAACTTTATCATTCATAGTATCATAGAATGGTTTGGGTTGGAAGGGACCTTAAAGATCATCCATTTCCAACCCCCTTGCCAAAGGCAGGGACACATTTCACTAGACCAGGTTGCTCAGAGCTTTGACACTTTGGCTACAGCCACTTAACTCCATTCAAAGTATTTCAGGGTCCATTGCTCATTCCTAACTTTTCCATAATCTCTCCCTATCACCTCTAAATAAATGGCTGCTCAAGTTTCTACAACTAAGGTCTTTTCATCTCTGCTGGGATGACTTCAGGCGTACAGTTGCCCTGTAGGATGTGCTCCGTTTTGTCTGCATCGTGTCTGTAACACAACACCCTGCTATTGAAGTAGAAAAAGCTGCATTAAAGTTTCTAGGCAATACCTAAAGCAGTGTAAGTGGCCTTTTTTTTTTCCACGCAGGAGAGATAAAGTTACCTAGACAACTGATTTAATTTTACACGGGGGGGGGGGCTGTATATTTTTTTCCCTGTGAATCAGTGACAGTTTTGACTAGGGAGACCCTCCAAAGCTTGTACTGGTTAATCGGTGTCCTTATAATGCCTGGGGGCATTAAATTCAGCTCTGCATTTCACATTTTGAAAACTGCCTCACCCAAGTAGGCTATGCAAGTTTTACTTTACTCAGAGCATAAGACAAAACAGAATCCATCACAACAGTGGGGAATAAAGCACACACAAACACCAGTGCCTTTTCCTTCAGCTTTGCCACCATGTAACGTGCCTTGGGTGCAGGAGATGTTAAAGCGTCTACCATGGCATCCACAACCTCGTGGCCATTTGTGCTTCCTTCACTGAGAATGCTGTTGAAAAAGTCTGCCCGCTCCTGGACGTACTCCTTGTTGTAAACAGCCTTTTCCTCTTCGCTGAGTTCGCTCCAGATCTCCTCGGCGCTGACCGGTGGCTGGATTCTCGTGGAGCGCGCGTAATTTCCTGGCTGAATAATGCAGACCTGGGAGCAAGACGTAAAACTTAGCAAGATGCAATCAGTCATAGTGAATTCAATTAAATCCCACAGTCAGTGAAACAGATCAAAAGCTTTCTGCAGACAGATTTCTTACGGAAAATGCTGCTTTGTTGGAATTTTAACCTTTGAAACTTGACTGAAATCAAAATGTATTCCCGTGAAACGTTTAAGATTGCAGAGGTGCTTTATTCTGACTTCCTCATTTCACTCTGATGTTAATGTTCTTGTTTTGACTACTCAGCACACCCTCACAGAATGCAATAGTGCATCTTTGATAGAAGGCTTAATGGTATAAATGTTTTGACAATACTGAGACAAAGCATTTCAGTATGACTTTGATGTCTCCAAAGTGGAATACTTTGGATTTTTCCCTCAGTGGAGAATCTTGAAATTGATAATTTTTTTGACCCAATTTGGGACAAAAGGAGATGTCAAAGAAAATTAGAAGGTCCTGGGGAAAGAAGTGCTGTTTTCCCCAAGTAGGTGTAATTAAAAGTAAACTAGGTCTTGTCAGCCAAGTACAGGGGGAACCAAAGCTCCTGGTCTGCCTCTCACTGAAGTTGTCAGCAAATTTCTGTGGGTTTGTGCACATGTAGAGATTTAAATTGAGAGGTCACAGGTCCTTTGCTGCTCTGCCTGTTTTCTTTGTGTGTGTTGTTTCTGAGGCTTCTGGGGAATTTCAGAGCAGGCTGAGCACTCACAGTATCCATGCTTTCCCTCAGTTAGCAGCAGGCTTGTTCAAACTATTTGTAGATATGCAACATTAAAAGCTCCATGGCATTTGACTGACCTGATTTCTACAGAGCGTAACACAAGGTGAGGAAAACCAGTGCTGAGCTGTGTAGGAGACTCGGGGATGTGACAGGCGCTCTCTGGGAAGTCTGTGGTCACGTAAAACCTTAATGTCTCCAATCTGCCACCCAGCCCATCTACCACGGCTCCCACCTGTGTGTCAGTGCTGGCAAGGGGCTGCTCTCAGCCTGCAGGGCACATCTGAAGGATTGGGGGCAGATCCTATTCATGGGGAGCAGGACAGACTCCAGCAGAGGGATGGTGTGCACAGCTGGGGCAGCTTATGCTGCCTCGGGTAGGTTTGTCCCAGGACATCTTTAGGAGTCTTCCCTTTTGGTACTGTTTAGAGAAGTGTCTGTTATCAGCCAAATTAATGCCAATAGCAAATCTCCCACATTTATTGTAAACAAAGGGGGTGTAAAAACTTCCCTTTTTTTTAGTTGGCTAGAAGAGAAGGAGAGATGGTATTTTTTTCCATTCCTTAATTTTCTGTAGCCTTTCTAATGGAAGACAAGTACTTTGATTGCTGTAGGCAGCCAGCTTGTGTGGCCAGAGTTCAGCCATAGCTCCATCTGTTCCTTGTCACCTCTGTGCAGCTTTCTCCTGAAAGGACAGAGGGGACAACAGAGCAGGGGAAAGGGAGCACAGAGAAGCAGGACTGTGTATTTTGAAGACTCTCCACAGGGTAGGTTCTCAGGCAAATGCCAGCCAGCATCTTGCATACAGCGAGAAACAGAAAAATAACTCTCACGGACGTTCTGGAAATGTTTGTCAGCCTGGCTCACTCTGTGTGCTGGGACTGTTCCAAGGAGGGGAACAGTAAAAATCCCAAAACTACCGAAGTAGCTAACTTGTTAAACTAAGCTCTTCCATGCATTTGAGATTATCCTCAGCTAATCAGCTGAAATCCTCATCATGCTGTGGGGTATTAGGATCCATAAAATCACTCGCATTTTATAGCATTTTATAGCATTTTGTATTTATCTGACAGGAGTGGTTAATAGGTGCATAGCTGTAATTTTTTTCCCCAACACAAAGCTTCTGAACAATGCTGTAAATCTGTGTATGTAAAGAGAGCACCAATGTAAACCCTCCAGGGAAGACTTTTAGGGTTTGAGAAGAGTGTTTCAACAGTAGAGTGACTCCAAGGAAAAAGCCTAGTGAAGCTACTTAGTGATCTAAGCTTCAAGTTTGACTATCAGTGTTGCTTAGGCAGGGCACTAAGAGCACTCTTAGAGCCTCTTAGGTTAAGAGAATAAAAACATAATTACTCTGCACAATAATGCCTCTTGCTGTTCTCACAAAAAGGAAGGAGCTTTTAAGCACTGATGTTGTAAGAGAAGAGGAAGAACCCCTCAGGCAGGTGACAAGCCCCCTCCTCTCTCTGCACAGCACTCAGGGTCTGGGCTCTTTGCTTCTGCAGCCACCCCAGGGAACATTTGACTTGTTTGGTGCTGTTACAAGCTCTGTGTGGAATGTGGCACTGCTCAGGCAGGCCCGTGTCAGGAAGTTTCTCCACTGTAGAGAATGGAAAAAATGTGCAAGTTCCAGTGCTGGCACACAACCTGCTGTCCCACAGCTTCTCAGAACTGCAAACATCACTCAGGCCCGCTGTTCTTAGTGATTTCCAGCTGACTGATAAGCCACAGAGAAACCACCTCTTTCTGAAGGGAAGCTGCACCCATGGGTTCAGTTCTGGTCTTTATCTTTGTCACTTTGGATGCACGGAGCTTACTTTGCACAAGATTGGATATCATTTTGCATACACTTGTTCCCTTGGCCAAAATTTCCACCTTGTGCTGGTTTGGGGATAGGTCTTTCTCATATGAAAATGAGTATTAGAAATAGCATGGAGTTTCACACAAGGTACTTGTTACATCACTTACCTGGACACCAAACTTCTTCATTTCCAGTCTTAGAGCATCACAGAATTTTTCAATTGCTGCCTTGGTCATGGAATAAATGCCATTTCCCAGAGTAAAATAAGCGATGATGCTGGACATGAAAACAATACGTCCTGGAAAGAAAATAGTTCAAATCACATAACTTTGCTCTCAGTCTTTAACGTGGAATTGGTTTACCTCAGGCTTTGAGCTGCTAATTCTGTGGTATTTATGAGGCTGCTTTACTGCAGAGTATGCCAAAGCTGGGCAGTGTAAGCACTCGCTCCCCAGCACAGAAGTGCACTCAGCTCTGTAGGCAGAGAACTTCACACAAAAACCTGCCCTCCTTCCATCTAGTGACAGATGCTGGACCAGGCAAAGTTTAACGCACTCCCAGTGTGCTGCTTATTCCTGCTGAGTCTGAGACAGGGTGGAAAAGGTGGAAACAAAGCAGTCCCCTAAAAACTTTAGACTGAAAAGTAGTAATAAACCACTGTGCTAGTAAGAGGAAGACTGCAAAGGAGAGGAGAGGAGTAGATGATTTGCCCTGAGCTGGATATATGGTTACTAATACCATTTTTCCTGTGCTAATGATGTCTGTGCACTGAGACACGGCTTTATAACTGTGCACACAAAGTCAGACTGAACACTGATAAGCCTCACCAAGGAAATGTGACTTGACAAAATGTGTGCAGTATTACACTGCTTTGCCATAATTTCCCTGATCTGTGCTGCTTTCCCCCCTTTGTAGCTCCTGCTGAGCACAGGCATGACTTTAATAGCAGAGATTTCTGATCTGAGGCACTGGGCTGTGCTTCATTTCCATTGTTTACTTGTCAACTTCTGTCACATAGTCATACCAAAGAGTAAGGAATGTGTGAATGTGGATATATAAATACCAGAGGTGAGGCAGAAGGTGGCCTTGTCTCTAACAATGCAGAGAACAGAGCTGCACTCCTGTTGCTGCCACAGATGCAGATACATCTGGGCCCCAGGTCTGACCAAAAGGAACAGGGTTGTGGGACATCAAAAGGGTGTCATGAGAATGCTGTGAAATCTGTCATTCTGAATTAGGTTCCCTGCCTTCCTACATAGTGTCCTGAATAAATCTTACACACAGTAAGAGGAAAAGAACTACCAGCTTGCTGATCAAGATGCTGCATCAGCTGACTTGGCAGGCTGGAAAAGATATGGGGAAATGTTGCTCCTCTCAGGGTAGGACGCTTAAGTTCTAGGCTGGAGGGCAATACCTCTCTTTACAGGTACTAATAATCTTGAAGGTTTTCTTGGAATAGCTGCCCATCCTAAAATGGCAGCAAGCCCCTTCCTTCACGGTGAGTGATGGTAGAACAGCCTCTGCCTCCTTTGTCCAGTAGCCAAGTTATTTGGGGCCCACACCCAGGATGGGGGACACATCATTTCCCTTCTCTCTTTGCCTCAGGTGACTGAAACCCAGCTTTCCCAGGAGAACACACTAACATTTGTAATTCAGGCTTTTCATTTGGAGATGTTGCTTGCTGCCCCCAAGAACGTGAGCTTTAGCTGTCCTGGCTGTTCCTGCAAGGAAGGAGATAGGAAAACTTGGGTTTTTTCTAAAAGTGCCCTGGCCTCCTCTCCTGCATAGATGGAACTTGAAAATGGAGTGCAGGCAGTTAATCAAGGCAGCATTGTCAGCCAGGGGTGAGATGCAGAGTGCTCCTCTGTGCTGTGTATGTGCAGCCATCCAGACCTCAGTCTTCTAAAAGTTTATGCATGTACTTAATATCATACACACAATTAGTCCCCTTTGCTTCAGAGTAACCCCGTGCAATTCAGGAAGTCAGAGAAATGCCTCTGGTGGATCAGCATCACAGAGTTTTAGCAGTAAGCAGGACGTCACAGGAAAAAAGGGGTGTCTCCCTGTGTAATGGCCACATAACACACTCACTGGGTACATACAATAGCACATTCTTTTACAAAAACACATCCAGCTCGTGGTATTTAAAGGCTTCTTTCTTCTTGTGTCAGAATATCATTAACCAAAGGCAACCAAGCAGAAAGAAGCAGAGTAGCCAGAAAGAAAAGGGGATGCTTTTATCTTACTAACAGTTTGTGTAGCAGTGACATCTGGGGCTTCCAGATGAAACTCAGCCCTTCCTGTGCCTGATGCTGCACACACAGAGCACAAATCCTCATCTCTTACAGCTGACACACACAAGCTAAGCAACAGTGGGAGAAAGGAAAAGGGTATCCTCTTTCCCAAATACAGATGGAGACAGGTAGGGAACAAACTGCAAAGCAATTGAGATGTGCTGCCATGCTGGAGAGGGTTATGAAACCATTTCTTCTCAGAAGAAAGGATAAAGCCCACGAATGTGGAGGCCCATGCAAATGCATTTATCCCACTGGATACCTGTGTGTCTCTGTATGACACTGTTTCACATACTTGAAGTCTCCTGCCCCAGGTCACAGAGAGGATCTTGTTAGACCTGGAACTGGAAGCTGGATGTCTCTAGTTCACCTCTGCAGGGTCATCCTTTCTCTCCTAATTGCCAAACAGTAAAATAGTAAAGCCTAAGTAATAACATTAAGCAGTTCATTGGATCTTTGTGTTTTCTCATTGTCAGTGCTTACAAAATCTTGCCTGGGCTTAGTGATCTCCTGTAAACATTTTTCCTCTCTTTTTTTGAGTCAAACACTGAGATAAATCCTTATTTGTAAATACTTCTATGTACTGCAAAGACAGAATCTTTAAGGATATTTTTTGCTCTTATGACTTTACCCTCTTTTCAGGATCAAGTTGCTCTTTCAGGCCACACAGAAGGAGGCTGTCATTTCAGTTCAATGAGAGACAATTAAAGCTGCTTTTATAGATGCTACATTACCCTGATTATAGTAAGCTAATTATTCTACAACTCTAAATAACAGTGGATTAGCATTACCCTTGTATTTCCTTAGAAGGGGAAGAAATTCCAGGGTTGTTCTGATGCTCCCAAGGAGATTCACATCTGCAAATTTTTCGTATGTCTCCATAGGCAGCCACCCTGTCTCGCCAAAAGTTGATATTCCTGCATTGTTGACAAGCCCCCAGAAACCTGTGGAAGAGAAACGTCTCAACGAGCATCTTTAACTGAGAAACAGCCACCACCAGAAAACAAAGCAGCTCTGGTGATTTGGACCCTTGGAAACAACCATATAGTTGTGTTATGTTTTTGTCTTTTCTGCTCGTAAGCGCAGACATGTTTTGTTTGATGAATGAATGCAGTTTTGGCCATTATCTGGACTACATGGAATGGTTTGAGTTGGAAGGATCCTTAAAGATCATCTAGTTCCACTGCCCTGCCATGGGCAGGGACACCTTTTGTATAAGTCTCAGTGCTATTTAATAATCACTCACTTTATAGTCATCTTAAGTTATTTATGAGTAATATGATCTGGGAGGCTAAATCTTACTGACAGTGTGGTGTGCCATGATATTTTAATTACTTTAATCCCACTGTGTGCTATGAGCAGCTTTGTGAAAATTATATTAAGCAGTCTAAAGGCTAAGGGGTACTATTTTCAAAGTGACCGACTAATTTAGGAGCCTAAGTCTTGGATCCTTTTCTAGGATTTGAGCTTTGATTCCTTCTGAAATCAGCCAGAATCAGGTACATGGGTGCAGCATTGGGTAATCAAACAAGGTCAGTGGCTACAGTGTTTTTTAAATTTTGTACTCTTAAGCAACTTTATTACCCACATAAGGACAGGTTTTGGTGCTAAGGAGCCCCACCCTTTCAAACACAGTAAGATTTCAGCATTTACAAGCAGAAATTTATTGGCAGCAAAGCTTGTTCTTACAGAACTCTGTGACAGAAAGTTTGAAGCCCTTTAGCCCAAAGCCACAGCACATTTCATGTGAGCCCTGCACAGTGTTAACAAGCTCAGCTGCTGGAAATGCCTGTCTGTTGAAGTGAGGAGTGCTCGGGTTGGAGCTGACATGCTGCCTAAATGCTGATCAAGCCATGCTGACTTTCCATGCCTTCACGGCACAGATCTGTAGAGGCACAGTTTTGCAAACATTTGTGTTTCCATCCTCAAATCCTGACTGGCAGCATTTCTGGGGTGACCAGCAGCATAACTAAGGAGCACCAGGGCAGCCTGACCTGCACTGAAACAGCTGCATTCGCAGCTTAGTTCTGCCAGCCTTGACAATTGGCTCAGGCATTTCCTTCAAACAATTCTTATGTGTGTGTCTGAGGCAAAGGATTGTTTTGCCATGCCTTCTACAGATCTCTCAGCCTGGGTTTCTGGGGGCAGAGCAGGCCTCAGTGCCTCTCTGCCTTCCTCTGGACACAGAGTCTGGGGCAGGGCTGTGATGCTGACCCAGCTGGAGCCTCCTGGACCTGTGGTAGCAGAGTTATTCTCAGGGGATGTTTGATCACCTCGGAGAAGGCACTGCAGAAACGCTTGGGCTGAAGCCTTTTCTTTCTAATCTCCTCTGACAAAACTACTGCAATGATTCCGTGGTATCTTGGTCCTTCCAGAGCCCTGCCAAGAACTGCCAATACCAGATTTCACTCACAACAATAGCTGAGACAGAAAATTTTTGGAATTGGTCTGTAAAGCAGATCTCTGTAAGCTTTTCTAACATATATACACTATTTTCTTACCTAATCAAATTGGTGTTTAAACAGAGAAAGAAACAGAGTTCTTTTAGTGAACATCTCATTTGCAGAGCAAAACACTCAAGATCAGGAATTTACCAGACAGAACAGGAATTTACTGGACAGAACTTGGATAACTCTGTCCTGCAAAGAGACTGAATCACTGTTCAGCAGCCTGTCACAGCAATCCTGGACACTGTACCTCTCTTGTAACTTTAGATACAGATGGACTGATGTCCTAGTAATGCAGCAGTTTTGTCTGTACTCGCTTCTTTTCCATGGCCCCAAATGTTAGCAGACAGAGGAGAGGAAATGGACCAAAAAACTGGCCACTGGAATTGGGCACCTTACACTTCCTTCTTCCCCCTACCATTGCCCTGTTGTTCCAGACCTTTCCATCATTTTCTGGCTTTATTTCTCCTTCTTAAAACAGAACCAGCTCCATGGGACTTACCTCCCAGTAAAATGCTTCAAGATCAATGGATTAGAGTCCTCTGTGAAAGCTAATTTTCAATATTTTTTACTTGCACGTGATCCAATCTGCTGATGGATCGAGTTGCTGCACAGCCCATCTGTGTCTGCTCAAGGCTGGAGGTCTCTGTCCTCAGGGTTATTTTTACATAACCCAGCTCTAACACAACACAAACTAAAGCCTGGCATCACTGGAAAAGCTGTTCCCTGATATCATCAGCTTTACCTTTTCTAATTAAAAAAGTTATTTTCCTTCTGCCACTGCACCCTGTGCAGCACAGCAAGAACACTTGCTCCAGATATCCCTGAATTCATTAGGGCTTTGGAAACACAGCCCTTAAACTTCAGACAATTGATTTTCTTCCTCTGAACTGTGAATCACAGATTTTAGCTAGCAAGGTTTAAGTTTTCTCTCCAGCCTCCTGTGCTTCAAAGCCTCCACTGACCACTTCAAGGTCAGTGTTGGGCCCAGCCTGTGTGTATGAACAGAGCTCACAGAATAATGGCCCCTTCCTTCTCCACGGTGGCCAAATCCCAAGAGGGGAGAAAAGCTGGCCTGAGTTAAACTGAAACAGACTTTTGTGAAGGGAAGATTAAGTAAAACATAAAACCACATTTTGCTCAGGGTCAGCTCAAAACATTTTGTTTGCCCTCAAGCAAAACTTACTGTTTCTTTGAATGTTTTGGCGTTCCTGAATGGGAAATGTTCTGATGTCTTCCAGAATTTTTCCTGCCACTTTGTTTAGTTGAATCAATTCTCAAAATTCGACCCAAATAACAAACAGTTCATTATTCCCTTACTCCACTTTCTCAGAATATTTCCTACCTCTTAAGAAACAACCTGCCCAGCTCTGTACTCAGGGTACTTGAATCTGCTTTGGTCTTTCTTTTCTGAAATGTTTGTGGTAAAAATCAGTGCTGTAAATGTGCATACAAAATATATTGTATATTTGCTTAGACAAAAGCAGCTCAGGTAACATAAGAAATACAGATGGAAATCCAGAAGGACAAGGCAGAAAATCAAACAGCTGAAGGAGGGAGACGTTGCATTTCCTCAGTGTCCATGCACAGACACTTTAGGAAAAAGCAGCTGATGTTTGGTGTGTCAGACTGTCAAAACAGAACTCATTCCAAGCCCAGTTTAGGAAGAGGGGTGTTAGACTGTGCTACAGCAGGCAGGGAATAAGTAAACTGGGAAGCAGGACTGGATGTCGGAAAGCAGGATGTCAATGAGATTTCCACTGATCTCTGTGTTGGGAAAATGGATCCCGAGGACAAAGATTAAAAGATACGGCCACGAATCTAAAGAACCACTTTAGTAAACCAAACTTAAGATTAGTGAGGCTTTCAGGAGAAGGACAGTAGCTCTCACATAAGCTCCCCAATAATTTCTACTTCGTGACTTGCTGATCAAAAGGAACATATCCAAAGTCCTTTTTTAGGCCAAAAATGTACCTGATGTTTTTCCAGAAACTCTTAAAAGTCCTGCTCCTATTCAAGTCAGTTGAGCTGTGTGCTTGCAAAAGCTTGTGAAAATCAGGCTGTTTCAGTGTAGGTGCCAACACACAGCTAATACCTGAATTAGGCCAGACTCCCTAAACTCTGACAGGTATACTTGGGATCACTGATCTTTGGAGCTTCTCATCTAAACCTGAGCCCATGGGAAAATGATGGGCTGTCTCCCGAGAGATTCCAAACCCATACTAAAGGAAACTAGCCAAAGGAAGGGAAGTGTGATTTGCCACGTTCCCAGTGAAAAATGAAGAGAGGGAACAACCCCCTCAGTCTGTGGCAATGCAGGGTGGTAGCAGGCCAGATGAGACTCCTGAGTTTTATTTATGTACCTTCATGAGTCACCATCCTTTGCATGGAATATTATGCTGTGGTTGTCTTCATTGCAAGGATGAGTCTATTTGTATAGGGAATCTGGGCCAAAATACTGTACCATGGCTGAATTCCATGAATATAAAATCTTAATTAAGTCGAAGACAGTACTTAATAACCTTGGAGTAGGAGGTAGGACTAAAACTAATATCCCTCCCTTCCAGCTAGCTACATATCACCCACTCACAACAGGCAAGAAAAGGAGGAGAAATTCCTGCCTGAAACAGAAGAAAACCAGAAAAATTCTGAGGTTTGCTGTAGAGCCTAAGAGAGTTGCAAATCAACATGCTCCAAAGGCCTGGTCCAAAGTTCATATTGACTTTAATGTGCACGAACTTTCTTCTTTCTAAGCAAGAAAGGACTCTAAATACTTTAGAAATTCATCTTAATGGGTGCACAAGCCATAAAAACAAATAAAGAAAAAGGAAGGCACCAGAGCCAGCAGTTTCATGGAGCAACAGTTACTTGACTCTAGAGAATGAGCTACATACCACGGAATTGATCTGCCATCCTTTCAGATTGACATAATTTCACAGCTCAGAATAGAACAAATATTTATAGGGAAACAAACCGTGAAGTGGCAGAATATCCAGCTGTGTTACCAGTAGTTTGGATTTCTGCTCTACAGCAAGTTAGTCCTGAACTGTGGATTCCAGGGTCTACAGGACAGCATGAACATGACACTGCGTGTGAACATGACACAGCCCAGGCTGTCAGAATTACAGGATAAATCATCTCAAACCCAGAGTTTCAGGTGACCCGGTCCCCATGGAGCCTGTAAGGGCTTTTGTGAGTCATCTGTGTTGTGTCTGCAGGTTGACAAAAAGCCTGAGAGGGGAGGCCTCTTAATCAGATAAGGTCAAGATCAACCATAAATACACGCACTTAGGGAGCGGCGCCTTACTTCACTTCTCATTTCATCCCCTTCCCAATGTGCAAATGAGCGGGCAGAGGCCTTGCATTTCATTACTGCTCTGCGTGCTTTATTCTCCACTCCTATGCCCTGCGTGAGCAGGAAGTATTTGTCTGTAATTCTGAGGGAAACAGCCTGAGGAACGTGCTCTGCGCCAAGTGATCCCCGGAATCACCCTGGGTGGCTCTCGCCCTGCAGCCCCAGCGGGAAAGGAGGTTCTGTGGCCCCATCACCTGCGCTGTGTCACGTGTTCTGAAGGGATAACCCAAGGATTTAGGTTGTCTGCAATTATTCTGAAGCTAAATCTATCCATTCCCCGGGGTGCACTCTCCCTGCAGGGTGTATAATCGACAGATTTCCCTTTCAGTAACCCTTCCAGGGACTAGCCTGGCCAACCTCAAGTGGCTCCGAGAAGCAGCTGCTCTGGTATGGCACGGCCGCTGCCCTCGCTGCACTTCACTTCTACTTATTTCCTCTTTCCACAAATCTTGCCCAGAAATCCATCACGTTCCCGCCCCTCCACGCCCGCACAGCTGTTCTGCGCTTCCTCTGCCCTTCCCTCCTGTGGGATACCTGCAGAGGGGATCCGGGGACGCTGCACTCGGGGAGTTCCTCTCCTGGTGGGAAGGCGAAGCTGTACAAAAATCGCACCCGCTGTACAAAAATCGGACAAGCCCCAGTTTGCGTACACACCGAGGCATTTTTAACACAAAGTATTGTTGTTATTACCCACAGCGGTGACTGCGATCGGCACCATCAGCGACGGCGCTCCCCAGTCCAGCAGTCCCGGGCGAACCGAGCCGCCGGCTTGGGGACCCCGTGGTCTCTGAGCCCCCCGCGGCCGCCCCGGTCCCCCCGTCCGGCCTCACCTCTCTCGGGGAGGTGGCTGAGCACCATCTCCTTGGCCTCCCGCACGTCGCGGGCGCGGGTCACATCGAGCCGCAGGACTCGCAGCCGGCCGGGCTCGGCCGCCGCCTCCCGCTGCAGCCGCCGCGCCCCGTCCCCGCCGGGGCAGAGGCAGCCGGCGAACACGGTGAAGCCCAGGCGGTGCAGGCGGAGCGCCAGCAGGTGCCCGAAGCCGCTGTCACAGCCCGTGATGAGCACGGCCCGCCCGGCCGGCTCCAGCCGCGCCGCCCCGCGCCGCCACCGCCGCGCCAGCGCCAGCGGCAGCAGGAGCAGGAGCAGCAGAGGGGCCGCTGCCCACATCCCGCCCGCGCCGCCACAGCCCCACCGTCTGGGACAGAGGGAGGGATGGAGCGCCCTCACCTCTCGCCCGGCATCTCCTCCCAGCCCGACATGCCCTCCCCGGCATCTCCTCCCCCGGGCAGCGGCCGCCCGCAGGCACCGCCCTCGCTCCGCGGGCGTGCGGGGTGTCCGCTCCCTCCGAGCGCCGGTGGGGAGCAGGAGCGGCGTCCTGGGGGAGCCCGAGGCTTGGCGGGGGTCTGTCCCCGCTGGAGTCTCTCGCCACTTTTAGTTTCGAGCAGAAAAGCGCGGGCTGTGAGCATCGTGCCACGGGCAGCTGGAGCTGCGCCGGCGAAAGAGGGCTGGGCTGTGCCGAGATCCGCTTGCGTGGACAGTTCCACTTCTTCGCTCTGCTGGGTTTTATACCGCCCCGGTGCTACCGGCTGGCCGCAGGGCATGAAACGAAAGCAGCATGAGTGTTTCTAAACGGTCAGATAGGGATTTCTAATACAGCTGCACTATTATGTTACAGTCGCTATATGTTACGTTTTATGTTACATTATAGTATTAAACCGATGTGGGGTTTTCATGGCTCAGGTCTGTGTCTGCTGTTGTCTCAAGGGTCCCTACATTACTCCATGGTGGAGGAAAATGTCTGCTTCTTGTAGGCTAAAATGACAGTTACACATTGCTGAAAAAAAGATCCCCGAGAGCTAAAATTACAGGAGAAATTTGATTAGGCAGTGCTTACTCTGCCCTTTCTTTTATATGAGCAGCTCTCCAAGCAGCTATTGAAAGGGATACTATGTCATATCTGCCTCCTCTGAGTAAAATGAAATGATTGAGAGAAACAGATACCTTTATTAATTGTGATTTAAAGTTGGTTTGTGAAAAATACAAAGGGGCCAGAGTCATTCATTGACATACAAGCAGTTGCAGAGGAAGCAGGAGGCCTTAACACACAGAGGGATGGTCCAAATATTTACCTGAACTACATCCCTGTAGCAGCCTTGTTCATATTTAGTGAACAACCTGTATCTAGTTGTGGCAGAGGGGTTTCTGAACTGCTGGTGCCCTGCTGCCCCTGAGTCTCCAGAAATGACATTGTCCCTGCAATCAGCCGTGTTTCATGTTTGCTTGGGCATCCCTTCGCACTGACAGAGAGAGTTTTAATGATATCCTGGGGAGAAAGGGAATAATCATTGTTTGATTTGCTTTTCCATTGACCAAGACATTCCTGTGTCTGTCATCCTGCTGGCTGCACATCTGTCTAGGTTTACTTTAAATTGTTCAGTGCTCTCTCTCTCTTCTGCATTGCTCAGGTCTCCAAAGGCATTGCATTATAGGATTCGAAGCCTCAAGTGGCTTGGGAAAGGAGGTTGTGCTCTGCTGCTGGGAGACAAAGTAGGACATGAATGGTTAAATCTCAAAGAAGATATCCAGATATTTGTCCTCAGCAGGATTTATTTGACCATGCTCCATCACACTGGGAGATGCTGCCCTCTTTTAGCCTTCAAAAGATCTTTCAGTCTTCTGCAACTACATGAGTCACAAAGGTTTGTCTTTACATTTAAAAAATAATTATGCAACTCTCCGAATCATGAGAGTTGATAACAGCCTGTCCTGCAGCCAGCTTCCCTGTCTGGTTCCTCCTGGCATAAAAAGACAAGGAGGGATTCCAGATTCACCTCCTCCATGCCTCCTACCCACCTCTGGTTAATAACAGGAAGAAAGTTATGGATTACAACTGCGTCCTTCACAGTTAGAAACAACTTCTGGACTACCTAGTCCAGGAAGTGAGGCCACTTAGGTCTACAGTGCAGTGTATTGGCAGTAAAATTCTATCTGTTGGGATGGTTTTCCTCTGGTTTATAGTATTCTGTTCTCATATAGATACATATGTGTACACACATATGCTTGTGTGTACATGTGTATTTTGAATTTTGACTGTGTTTTGTCTAGTTTCTGAAATCTCTTTCTCAAAACTCCTAAGTTTTTATCTCTGTCTTGATCTGTTCTACCTCTTATGCAATTCCAGTTAGTTGTGGATTACTTGTAGCAAGTTTAAGAAAAAGTCTGGATTTTGAGGAAGTCGATGAGGAAATGGAAGATGCTTAGAGCCTGATGGGGATCTGAATGAGATTGCTCCTAGAATATGCCCAGGGATCTTCCACTCTTCCTGAGAGCATTTCTGGGAACAGAAACCTGTGAAGTTTATGCTTAAAGCTTTATGCCACCCAGTGTCTTTCACAGAGTGAAATAACGAGTTGCTGCACTTAAAAACTGAAGAACAAGTTTCCCAGAGGCGTCATGTTACCAGTTCAGGTGATTAGATAAGCAGATATTCCTAAGGGCTGAGTTGCTTGTGGAGGCAGTTCTTCTACACATTGGAAAACCAGGCCATTTCCAGAAGTGCCAAACTATGGATTTAAGGCATTTAAGATTAGGTTCCTCTGGGAAGGTAATACTGCTCAGATCTTACCAGCTCTGTTAGTTTTCGATCTGAAGCAAATTAGATGGGAAAGATGACACTCTAAGTTTTTTGTTGAACAGAGAAGTGTTGCCATGTTGTCCCTACTCTCAAAACACAAACTGTTTTTCTAAAGGACTCTGTTTCTTCTCAAGGAATGGCTGGAAAGCACCGTGATAAAGGAGAGCTGGGGTAGGCTGTGTTCCCCTGTTGCACCCCAGGACTTCCAGCTTGATTCCAGGGAAGACAGATCTGCTTTTCACTTTGTTCCTGAGCAGAGTGTCGGTGGCTGTGAGGAGCAGGGCTTGCTGTGGGACATTTAAATAATATGCACAGATCTTTGTCCAGCTTTGCCCCAGTAGAAACCAAGATACAAGGGAAGGGAGGAGACAGTGTAGATTTCCCCTGCCCTTAATCTCCTTATATTTGTGCCTCTTCTCATGTCCAGTCACCTCTGCTTATTTTACCCATGCCCTTGTTCCTGTTCCCTCAGCCCCCATCCCTGCACCCCTCCTGGCAGTCTTATCACCAGTTGGAGCTGTCTCAAGATTTGCCATCTGTCATTCTCAGTGGTGCTCGCTCTCAGGATTGGGTAGGAGCAGTAATGCTCCTTGATGTCTTTCTTACAGCCTCAACTCTCCAGCAGCATGTGCAAGTCATTATTATTTTTACTTTTGGAAGCTGTGTTTTCAGGTAACTGCAGAGCCATCCTTGGTTTCACAGGAATCACTTGATGCAAAGTGCCTCTTGTCAAAGCTTCAGAAAAATGCTGAGAATGTGACAGAGTACCTCCTAAAAGTTCCAAATAACCAAAAAAATCTAGGAAACAATTAATACAGACCCCTCTTTTATCATTTGAATGCTTCTGGAGCCAGTGTCATGATTTCTGGGGTGTAGGATCAGGATTTCTGACCCATAGGATCTGACTGTGTCACACACAGTTCACCAGGACTCTTCCCTTTGCCATCCATTGGGTCTTGTCAGCTCAGATCCCAAACCATGTCATGTTCCTCTTGCTGTTGCACAGGGAGCAGCATGGAATGCTGCTGGGCCTTTCTGATACTGGTGAAAATGATGCTTATCCAACAGGAGGAAACACGAAACTCATCTGGAAGTTCAGCAAAACACATTCCTGTCTTCCAGAGCTGACACAGGAATGACGCTGCATCCGAAAAGCTGACACTGAATTCACATCTGAAGGCAAGTTTCAGGACTGGGAAGACTAGCTTTCCAGGAAGAAGATTAAAATACTGTATTTTTGGTGCAGCTAAGCAGCCAAAGACATTGTGAACAGAAACACTTGCAGTTTTTAGAGCTGGCAAGCTGCACGTCCTAGTTCGGGGCTCAGCCAGCGAAGGCTCTGCCGGAGTGTCAAAGGAAAGGAGCCAATGGGAGGGTGTCATTCCATGTAATTAGACAGGAGCAGTTGCATGTGGGCTGTGCATGGGGAATATCGAGTCTTTGAAGACTAAGCAGGATGTCTGGTTCTGTATAATGTGATGAGCTGCATTAAAATCTCACTGCGTATTTTTAAAGAGCCTGGGCTCGGTCGGCAAAACAGATTTAGGATGCCACGTGTATTGCTCAGTGTGTTAAAAAAGGGGAGATGGCTTCTATTTAAAAGGCAAGGCAGGAATATCTTCTACCCATGAAATATTTTCAAACACTTGTCACTGCATACAGTGTCCAGTCTATTCCAGAGATTAAGTCTTCCATTTGTCAGAATTTATTTTATTAAGTCCCCAGGATTAAGTCCTTTTGGCAGTATTGGAGTAGTAGCAAACAAGGAGAGAGAGAGACGTGAGGGAAATTGTCTTAGAAGCAGGAAACTCCACTGTCTCTTCTAACCTGAAGTGACTGATCCTCTTTAAACTGGAACACCCCTGGCTCAGGAACAGATATGTTGTGGTTCAGCTGGTGTATCCTCATGCATGGGCAGTGTGGAAAGTGAAAAGACACCCTATGCCTTCCAGTTAATACATTCCAGAAACAAACAAAAAATTAAACTCTGTTTTATCTCATTTCTAACTTGGAAGACAAATGTGGGATGATTCTGACTTGAAAATGCTACTGCAAAATGATCCAAAGGGAGTAAGAATGCTTGGACTGCTTTTCCACACACCCTCATTTCTCTCATTGAAGGACCAATGCAACGTAGCAAACTGAGAGCTTCAAGTGGAGGTGGAGGATAAGGATGAGGGGAGATCAAGTTTCCTTCTTTTCCTGGTGATCAGATCTAGGAAGGGCTGAAATGAAAGTGTTCTCCTCCAGCACATACTGTCACTTAACCACACAGTGCAGACATAGATTCATCAGGTAAACTGCTTTGAACCTGAGGATTCCTGGAAAAGAGGACCAACGCAACAAAACTAGGATTTATCTGTGGTTAAAAGTTAATTTAGTTGGAGAAATGGTGTGTGTTTGAACACAGTGGCTCTTCCCCAGCATCTCCAGATGACAAAAAGCCCTTACACTGTCAGACTGCTGGGAAATACCCATGATGTCAGAGTAGATACACAATCAGTTCAGTGCTGATAAACTGATCCAACGTAAA